CTCTAGCACAAGATTTACAAGATCTACAACACGGCACATGCAAGCCTCTGCCGCTGGTGTTGCAGCGGATGGACATGGTTCCACCACGCTTCCTCCCACCTGAGAGCAAGGCCGCAGATAACAGATATAACAGGGGGTTGATGAGAACCACTCACATCACTCACCTTGGACCTATGAATCATGAATTTTATCCAGGTCATCTAGGCATGAACATCGGACTCGTCAAGATAAAAAGAAAGATCCGGCCAAAGACGGAAAACCAAAGAAAGTCACACAATTCATGGGAATTGACAAATGTTAAGGTATGACATTTTCAAAATGAAAGTGATCCCGCTAACAAAAAAGCGATCAAGATTGATCAAAGCCTAAGTTATCGTGTTGGATCATCATGATCATCCCGCTCAGCCCTGCCACCCCTTTTTCAACGTCTTTTGCTGCTGTCATATCTGTCATCACTGCTTTCTCATCTTTCTCTTTTTTCCCAGGCACTCTGCACACACAAGTACTCTGCGAGCACCATGCACACATGTCTCGAACAGATGCACCCTGTCGCCTGGAGATCCTGAAGGCTCTGAGGGGCTCAGCTGGTACACGCTCTGAATTTCCATGTCAGATATGTCAGTTTTGACCGTGCATGATGCCTGAGCAGATTCAAGATCTTCAAGCTGTTCTCCAACTTCTTGTGATGAGGACCCAGCTAACTTCGGCCTTTTCCCTGTGCAAGATGTGTGGGTAACTCGAACGTTGCCGTCGCTGTCATGGGCATGGTGTTCGATCCGGTCCTTGTAATAAAAGTGATGCACCTGCTTCTGATTCTCCGGGAAATGGTGATGATGATGAGATGTCTGAAGATGTCTGTCATCGTCGCTAGGAATCTCAGATGGGGCTGGAAGCGGTGTGTTGTGACCGGTCAATGCATTCAATACCTCGCTGGTCACATCTGATGAACTTGCCGCATCTGATTCATTGACGTCTGCCATTGCAAATCAGAAAAACATGAACCCTGGTATCGGATGTATCGGGAGGTTTGAGCCCAAGCCCTCCTCAAGGGATGTCCCTGTGAGGTTTTTCATCACTGCAAGCTTTTCAAACATTTCAAGATATAAAAGATATTCAAGATATTTAGGATTTTTAAGGGAAAGCCGTTGCTTCGCACAGCATGAACATTAATAATTCAAGAAGTTCAGGGATCATTTGATCATGTTTGATTTTATATTCAAAAACGTTCAAAATTTTCAGAAACAAAACGTCAGTCCCAAGGATTTCATCCTTTTGCACACCTATGTGGGACCCAAGCATTCCCAGGGGATCACTGGGAAGCCTGCAATATTGGAGGGAAGAAACCTCAAATCATGGGTTTTTATCTGCGGTCATCCCCAAACTCTCCTCCAAAATCACCAACATCCCCAAGGAGACGCCTGATCCTTCAAGGCAGGCGTCACCAATTGGTTTTCCATTTTCTGCGACGCCTGGCAGGTGATGGCAGGTGTGCCAGTGCATTGCGAATCTCCCGCAAGGTCCACAAGTCCACAAGTCTGTGAAATAAGGATGCCAAAACCAGCAAACTCTTCAAACTCCTCAACATCTTGTGTGTAACAAATCTTGAAGACCTTGAAAAATTAGAAAGCATAACAAATCTCAAAGATCTTGAAAGTACATCATGGAGTGACCTAACGAGCACATCCACCATCAAGCCTTCACAACATCTTCCCCAGATGCTGCTGCGTGTCCATTCTTCATGATGTCGCCTGCATCCTGACGGGTCAAAGCAGGGAGCTTTCGTCTTTGGCGAGCCATGGCAGACATGCCAAAATCCAAACCATTAATAAAAATAAAACGTCAGTCCCAAGGATTTCATCCTTTTGCACACCTACATGTGGGACCCAAGCATTCCCAGGGGATCACTGGGAAGCCCGCAATATTAGAGGGAAGAAACCTCAAATCATGGGTTTTTATCTGCGGTCATCCCCAAACTCTCCTCCAAAATCCCCAACATCCCCAAGGAGACGCCTGATCCTTCAAGGCAGGCGTCACCAGTTGGTTTTCCATTTTCTGCGACGCCTGGCAAATGATGGCAGGTGAGCCAGTGCATTGCGAATCTCCCGCAAGGTCCACAAGTCCACAAGTCTGTGAGATAAGGATGCCAAAACCAGCAAACTCTTCAAACTCCTCAACATCTTGTGTGTAACAAATCTTGAAGACCTTGAAAAATTAGAAAGCAAATCATGGGGTGACCTAACGAGCACATCCACCATCAAGCCTTCACAACATCTTCCCCAGATGCTGCTGCGTGTCCATTCTTCATGATGTCGCCTGCATCCTGACGGGTCAAAGCAGGGAGCTTTCGTCTTTGGCGAGCCATGGCAGACATGCCAAAATCCAAACCATTAATAAAAATAAAACGTCAGTCCCAAGGATTTCATCCTTTTGCACACCTACATGTGGGACCCAAGCATTCCCAGGGGATCACTGGGAAGCCTGCAATATTGGAGGGAAGAAACCTCAAAACATGGGTTTTTATCTGCGGTCATCCCCAAACTCTCCTCCAAAATCCCCACTCCCTAAGGAGACACCTGATCCTTCAAGGCAGGCGTCACCAGTTGGTTTTCCATTTTCTGCGATGCCTGGCAGGTGATGGCAGGTGTGCCAGTGCATTGCAAATCTCGAATGTCTGAAAGATTTTGAAGATTCACATATATATATATATATGATAGATATGTCATAGAAGCTATAGGTCTGCAGTTTAAAACCATGAATAACGGAACAAACAAATCAAACAGGAATAGGTCCATCAAGGTCATCAAGCTCTGCCTGGAGGCTCTGGTCGCTTTCCGATTCCAGGGCTTCATGTAAAAAGCTATCTCGCAAAGTTTGAAGTGCCTGCCAACAAATAATGTTGACAAGGTCTTGTCGTTGGCTACACATGTTACACATGTCAAACGTTGCACGCCACTCCTGTGAATTGTGCAATCTCTTTGATCTCTTTGTATGATTTGTATGTGAAATATGTGATGTATCCGGACGTATTGCATGCATCATCAATGTCAACGACGGTCGCCTGAGGTGAGGCCCAAAGACCAAACAATTTCTAAGAAAGGGCTCACAAGACCCTGAAATATCTCAAATGTCCAGACGAAAATTGACAAGGCACCCCCGAAAAAAAAAAAAAAACAGCCGGCCTTGGCCAAGCCTCTATGGCAGCCATCACCACGCCAGTCGCCCATCACAAACAGGCTGGAGTGCACACCACGTTCACATTTTGCCACCCACAGGTCCACCTTCTTGGAAAACTGCATCTCGAGCTTGGTGTGCTGGCACTTCAGCATGGTGCAATGTTTCAGCGGCAGTGGTTGGCACGATGCTGCTCCGCAGAGACATGGACTTGGGACTGCGCCCAACATTTTTTCACCTGCCAGGGGATCCACAAGATTCACAAGGCTCGCCGCATAACACATGGAATACACCTGTTTCAAATATTTTCAATTTTTGTTCAACTAATTTCACTCCTGCCTGGCTGAACACAGTGCCATTGATAATGACGTTGTAGTCCATTACAATCTCATCACCGGCAAAGATTGGTTTCTCCGCAATGACCTGCACAATCATGGTCAAAGATTGTGCCACACGCTCAATCCAGATAATCTGCACATTCTTCACTTTCTTAAATGCCAAAAAGAAAACAAAACAAAAGGCATCACAAGAACATGCCAAAAATCCCAAGATATGTTCAGCCAACATATCCAAGATATCCCAGATCAGACAAGGAACGGAAAATTGGCCAGAGTCAACAGGGTCATCTGCCAGAAGCCCTGCGTTTGGGACGCAGCTGTGGTTCACCAAATCTCGGAATGGAGATTTGCCAAAGCATGCAATCTTCTCACCCTGGCTGATGTTCTCAATTCCTTTGCCCTTCTGACCGGCAATGGCCACGCCATACTTCGGCATGGGAGCGGGTGATCAAACTGATCAAATGAAAACTATCAAAGTCATCAAACAACTCCATGATTACAAGCTGACTCTGTTTACAACCTTTGCACTTTTGGGGTTTAAAATTGCACATCCTTCAAGTACAGCCCTTACTGGTGGATTTAGAATATTTTGATAATGTAGCTTTTTCCAATGGCCTGCGCAAGGTTTGCTTGGTTTTTGTACATTTAGTAAATTTATTTCATTATTTCATTTGTCCCTTGACGTGGCTCAAATGGCCACTTGAACCAAATCAGGTCAACCATGGCCAGGCGAATGTAATCCCATGCCCTGACATGCCTGGACGAAACTCAACACTCATGTGCCCCAGGGTTGGAATTCAGAGGCTTGGCATTCTTAAAGGTTTTCAATTTAATTCATGACAAAAAATGAAATCCCAGGCACTGACATATATTACCGAAATTATTTTTAGCATGTTGTGTTGATGGGCACTTGGATGAAATTGGTGCTCTGACCCCAAAATACCCACCGGATAAAACTTATGTACTGACATATTTGGAAATTGCCTTGGCTAGATTTTGGGGTGAGGGTATGGGAACTCAACCGGGGGCACCAGATGGGGATTTTTATATCTACTTAATATCTACTTATCTATGTGTTATATAATTTAGTCATCCATTTTTCCAACTATTTGATCTGTGTGATTACGAGGTGTTTGACTTGTTTGAATACATCTATCCTTCCAAGTGCCAAAACATGGCTGGCAGGCTGTTCGAACTTTTTGGCCTGAAGCCGCGCTTGGCAAAGCTCAGTTGTTGGGGGAATGGAGGTCGATGCTTTTGAGATCTTTTGAGCCATAATACTATGCAAAATGACCCTTGAAAAATTGCGCATTTGGCCTCTCACCAAATCCGAAATGCATCTGGAAGATTGTGACTTCGTATTATGACCCAGTTTGAGGCTCCGATTGTCAGATGATCGTTGGTTTGGTTTAGGGGAAACCTTAGCTGGAAACCATTTTTTTTCATGTTGTCCGATGTTTTTCCACGTTTTTTTCCAGGAAAGTTTTCCACCTAACCCCGGAGATATCTACCCACCTGCTTCTCACGCCGCAGCTCTGCCAATCGCTGACGTTCTTCCATGCTCCTGCAACCACGACATGCACGCCGGCTTCGAACAGAACAGGTGGAAACAACAGGTGATTTTTGTCAAGTGCGCAAAGTTCTAAGTTCTATGTTTCCGGTTTGCAGTAGCTTTCGGCAGGGTATTGAACATGATGATTATTATAAATTCCATTTGGAGGTTTAAGGTCGAAAGGGTAGATTCAGTCTCACCGTGTGCATCATGGGAGCTAACTTGCAACTGTCCGCACCAAGTCAGGCACCACACCAGGAATTGTCCATAATCTTCGTGATGTCACTCTTCCTAAATACTCGTTGCGGATCTTCCATCACTGGGTTTAGGGTTTTTTTCGGATAAATCTTCGAGTAAACAATAGCGAAGCATTCATCCAAAGTCATCCAAATATTCATGGCTCTTTGGTCCATTTTTTTCGACTCTGGAAGGTCAAGACTCGTCCCCCACCTTCCCTGCGCATCTTCTTGCTTGGCCTCTTGTGCGGCCTGGTGGTGAGATCGAAGCCACTTGACCGATGATTTTCATCTTCGACGGGTCCATGATTTGAATGAAAATCTGACTTTAAAGGGGTAAGTCCTGTTTTTGCTAACATACTGTTAAAAACATATCCAAAATGATGAAGCAAGGTTTTATAATATTTTATACGGAAATTTCATGAAATTTCAGTCATCCTTACCCCTCAAAACACCCCTCACCCCACCCACCGGCGCACCCGGGCAGCCACAGGGGATTTCAACAGCTGGATGAACCTTGGCAAGATTCAGCAACCCATAGTGAATTGACCAACGGAAAGTTTCACCAACTTTTCTCCCAGTCGTCACCATTTCGGCATCCAAGAAACGCGTCTGCTTGATGCTCTTCTGCCAATTGCATGGCGGTCAGGCCTGATTTCCCATGACGTGTAACGCAATCTTCGCCAGGGGGTCAACATTGGATACCCCCAAAAGGATTTAAGGCTTGATACAAACAGAGAAATCCTGGGCCTTCCATTCCTTAAAGCATTTTTGAAGATGGGAAACTGTCAAATTGGGGAAAGATTGAAGGATTACCCTCTGCTCATCAAAGGTGGCAATGGAAAAAAAAACTCGCGAACTGGAGGCCAAAGAATGGGAAAATCATCGACAAAAATGGAGACTGTTAGCAAGCCACGTTTCTTGACCGGCTTCAGGCCAAGATAACCTGACACGAAAAAATGGATTCGACTTCTCCGGTCAAGTTGAACGTCCCGCTTCGCGGGTTCCCAGGCCACTGGAACTTTCCGCATTGGGATCTGCCCGGTGCTCCAGCAAGAGCCGCCCGATGCCTGGGCACTGCTACTGGATGGCCCTGTTTTCATGGGAAAATGATGGGAATTTCAATGTTCAATGGGAATTTCAATGGGAATATCCCCACAAAATATGGCCTTATAATATCTTATAATCCTTATATGGTACAGTAGCTCCATTTTAGGATCCTGGAGTTCCCATTGAAATGTTCAACCATGCAATTTTAGGGGCTACCTCAGACGAAGATGTTTCCTTGATGCTTCATGATGAATGTCATTAGATCTCCAAAAAATTGGTCCATGAAGTGGGATCCTGCAATGGCAGCAAGACAAAATGGTCGAAGATGCCAAGCCTTCAATCACATGCATTACTCAACATTTCACAGGGTTGCCCCCAACGCCCCAGATACCTTTGGGTGGAAATTCCGTTTTTACATTTCACAGAGGTCCAATCAAATAACTAAACTCTCCCCAAAAAGTGGCAATTTATTTCACCTACAATAGCAAGCCTATAATATATCTTGAATTCTTCCATTAATTCCCCATGATCCCCTGTTAATTCCCAATCATTGTTGCCATCAATAAATCTCATTGGATTGTCATATTCCCCCAGAAATCAAAAGGGGGGACGTTCCCACCTTCATGGGAGGCAGCAGCTGCCTGGCAATTGCTGTGGGAAACCGGAAAAGATGCAATCACAGAGATTCAAAAAATCAGAGATTTTAGTGGGTTGTTAGTTGTCATATCTCGTTCTACTATTTTTAAATATCAAACCATTGGTCGTCTTCAGAACCATATGTGAAAAATTGTGAAAATGTCAAAAGCTTCGTCAACCATCCATTCGAGGATGGAGAAGCGGTGGAGTAAATGTCTCACACGAGACAAACCACGAGGGTGCCTGGAAAGGACACGCAAGGTGTGCTCTGATTTTCTTGGCAAGATAGCATGTCTACATTCTGGACTTGATCTTGCGGTCGCCAAGTGTGTCGCGTACATCCAATGCCATGACTTCCTTCCATGCTTCTAGCCGGAACCCAAACAAGTTCCTTAGCGTTCCTTGAGAGACACATCTTTTATTTGTAGCATGGTACCTAGCCTCAGGCGAACAAACACTACGGTAACTACATTTAAATATATGGACTTTTTAATATACGAACAGGTATTTTAGACTACCTCCGGGAAGGTTTTCCTTGGCCCGCCCGGCCATTTAAACATACGGAATCCAATCCATTTAAACATACGGTAACTACATTTAAATTAATATAACTTAACGGGTATTTCATACTACCTCCGGGGCCTTGTGGTCTGGCCCGCCCTCCACATATTCAAATGTCGTTACCGTACTGTAAAGTTCACATTTAAGCAGTTAAGCCATGAGTTATCTCTTGAACTCCCAAAGGATGATTTCTTGATTTCCAAGAACCGAAGAACCGTGGCAGCAGGGCCTCCATCAAAGGCGTCTCCCCGACCAGATCTGCACGGCCGGGATCCACTCGGCCCTTTACCAGAAGCTCCTGCGGGAAAATCATCGAAGTAAACAGACGATGGCCATCGCCCCTTACCATGTTGGACTATCAGAGGATACCCTCTGGTAAACTAACATAACTATGGAAAATCACCATATTTACTGGGAAAAACCACTATAAATGGCCATGTTCAATAGCTATGTTAAATTACCAGAGGATATGGCTTTTCAACCAGGGTTGATTTTGGACACGGCCAAGGCTTCAGCTAAGGCTCAGCCTTCTATACCCATTCCACCCGGTGATGTCGCAGCACAGCCCCCACGACTTGGGGGTGATTGATAATGCGACAACAAGTTCCCGAGAAATGAGGTTCTGGTTCAGGAATTTGAATGGAGTATCTCGCATCTCTAGATGCTTGTCATTTTAGTCATTGCGGAGCTGTGAGCAACTCGGACCCGGTAGCTTTTCCCAGAAAGTTATCTTGGATGAACATCCCCGCCTCCACCAAGGTCTTGGCTTTCTCGGGCTCCTGGCCAAAAAAAACTCCAAACATCTGCTGCCACGCTGCGGTGCAGACACCGATGAACACCTATGGATACGATTGGAATATTCGGAATATATTGTGAAGATGTGACAAGTAATTTCGGGAAGTGTTTTTTTTGGCTAGCATCGCATCCCAGAACCATACTTCAGAGCAAAACCATGAAGGCTCAATTTCAGGTTTCTAAGTGTGACCAGAAATTTGTCTGAGGGTTTCGTGCGAAGACCACGGGACGTCAAGTGGGACCCCCCAAATTCGAACCGTCCCCGCTGGGTGTCCAGAATTGCCAATCGAACGGCCAACATCAGCGGTGTTTCGCCTGGCCATGGGACCATCCCCAGGTTTCCACCGAAACCCATAATGCCATAGAGATACTTTACAAACCACTGGCATTATGGTTTCATTATCCCATAAATAATGCCATAGTGCCAATTCGGATTCATTTTGACTCCCACTTCACAAACATGTCGGCAAGCTGAATGGCTGCCTTTTTCGCCCCGCCTAGGTAGTTCTGCAAGTTCTTCGGGGCACCGTTCTGCAGCAAAAAGGCCAACATCTCCTTTTTTTTGCACGAAGGAATGGGCACACCAAAAAACATGGGGTAATGTGGTAATTCCAATCATTGGGATTACAGTATATGAGATTAATTACTTCCTGGAGCCGGAGCCTTGCAACATTCCCATGAACAGTTTGTTTGCAGCTGCAACATTCTGTCCGTGGTAGTGCTGCAAATAAATAGAAAACCCCTAGTAAATTCTACATGTGACATATTTACAAATCTGCTGAAGGTGGGTGAAAGTTTCACATCCAGTCGCAAAATCCCAAATCTGGTATATCCTGGTATATAAATTTACCCAATAGAATATATGTGCTCTCAATGGTGTCTCAAATCACCAAAAAGCTAACATGACAACCGTTGTTTTTCCTCCCAAAAATGGTGTTTTCAACTTTTCAATTGTGGTCCCGATGAATTTTGGTTTTCCGTTACTATATATATATAGTGCTGATGATACATGACATGAAGAAAACTTATATACAGTATATGTACCTATATATATATATATACGTATATTTTTTGTAAGTATGTAAATAAATATTATTGTGTATATTATATATATATATATTGAATTAAATATGTTAAATATATTAATTATATAATATAGTGTATACATATATATATAATGTAATATTATATATAATATTAATTATATAATATATTGTATACATATATATTATATATAATTTTATTTATTATATTTGTTATTGTAAATATATATATATATACATTATACTGTATATATTTTATTGTAGATATTTATTTATATATATATATTGATATATTAAATGAAGTAAAATATGTACATATATATTACATATTAAATATATATATATATATTATCATATATATTATATTATATGTATATTTATTGACATATATATATATTATTGATACAGTAAATATGATATTATATGAAATATTAAAATGACATAAACTATGAATTATGAATCTATATTATATATATTATAATGTATATATATAATATTATACTATATTGTATATACTATATTGTATTATGTTATATCATATTATATTATATTTCATTTTTTGCTTATACTATATATATTATATTATATTATCATATATTATATATATTGTATATTATTTAAAAAAACTATATTTATATATTATCATTATATTTAGATATTATATATATATTATCATTATTATTATTTTTTTATTATTAATCTTATACAAATTATATATATTATATTGAAAAGATATGCATTATATACTATATTTGATATGTTATATATAATATTATCTATAATATATTATATATAATATACCTTATATTATATATTATTATATAATATATATCATATATCATATATAATTATTATATATTATATATACATATCCCCATAATATGCTCTTTAATTATGCTTCATGGAGCATCATTGAACCATTTTACTCCAAATATGCCCAGCACGAAGCAGTCGGCTGCGGCGCTCCTGCTGCGTCGCCTCTTGCTCTGGCTCCGCAAGAGCTTGCGCCAACCAATGGAGCGCCCTGCGAGGAAGTCAGCTGACAGGTTGCGCGACCGACAAGTTGCCCAAGTACCATTGAGTAATACTTAATAGCAGAATATCATGGTGAATATCATCATAATACCAAGTACCAAGCAGAATATCATGGTGAATCATATTCATCATATTGATAAATCATGATAAATCCATTTAGCATTTGGGGTAGGTCTTAAGTTACCTGCGGTTTTATCATAGTTTTTCTCCATATCTTCCATCCATTTAAGCATCATGAGTTACGTCCGTGAAAGCCGTGAAAGCCGTTGGAGACTTCACCGAGACCAGCGGCACTCAATGAACCAGAAAGGATGATCATGAACCAGAAATCATGGGATAATCATGGGATAATCAAACAATAAACTAATAGTATGCAATAGTATGGATAATCATGGGATAATCATGGGAGAACAGTATACAATAATCAGACAATCATGGGATAATCATGCTCATGCAATATTATGCAGTCGTCTATCAAACAACCATCATTTCTGGCTTTGTCTGAAAATAGGCTACCCATTCCATCCGCTGGCTGATCATGGTGTTCCCCATTATTTGATGGCCATGTAAAGGAAAATATATGCCCCTCCCATTTTCAAACACACCCATATACCATGTTGTTGGTTGAATCCCTGCAAGTGTGAATAATGCTTGATATCTGCAACATGCATATATATATATATATACATATACATGTACATATTATATACATATGTATATATATACATATGTACACACACACGTATATATATATACACCCCCTATAGAATGATGGTTTGTGATGGCCCATATGATTATAACCATCATTGACCCATCATGACCCGTCATTTAGGTACAGACCTCACATTCGACCCTACCGAAGTCTCACATTCGACCCTACTCCAATTCAGACCACACACCGTCACATTCGACCCTACCCTGAACGATAAGCAACCCTTACAGCAAAAACGGCCTTTAGCGGTTCACATTCGACCCTACCTCATCCTACTGGTTCATACCACTGGGGAAACCTGCTTCCGAAACACACCTCCACGCAGGGTGGGGTGGGGTGGGATGTTAACGTTCACTAACACTTGCAAACTAAGGACGCAGGGTGGGGTGGGGTTGGGGTGGGGTGGAATGGGTGTGATAACGTCCTTTGGTTTTTGGCACAGGGACTTTATGCTACGCTATGAAACCTTCTCTTGCTCTTGCACACCAACATGATGCCACTCCATCAGACCTTCTCCTGGCTCTGGGCTGGGGGTGGGGTGGGGTCGAGTGGATGTGATAGCTGATAGCTGTTGAAGATGATGATGGTGATGCTGATGGTGAAATATGTATGTTGTTGTTGATGGTGATGATGATCATGACGGTCATGGTCAGGATCATGATGATGATGATGATGATGATGCTGATGATGATGATGATGATGGCGGCGATGATGATGATGATGATGTTGATGATGATGATGATGATGATGATGATGATGGCGATGATGATGATGATGATGGTGATGGTGATGATGATGACGATGATGATGACGATGAGGATGAGGATGAGGATGAGGATGATGATGATGATGATGATGATTTTGGAGTTACTCGCGAATACATGTTGGAGTTAGAAGCGAGCACGTGTAGGAGTTACAAGCGAGACATCGCCCTGTGCGCAAGACATCAGTGTAGATGGAAGAAAAGAATTCTGGACCTCGTTTTCACAAGTTAAACCGCCGATTTCTCGCATTCGACCCCACGGCAGAACAGGGGTAGGGTCATATGCGAGAACATTGGGGTAGGGACAAATGCGAGGCGCGTACCATCATTATTTATGGTTTCTTACATCCATAACTTATCCCATTGACAGTTTATGACTATACATATGGCAATTGGTATACTTGCTACTTATAGTAGAAACAATTTTTATGGTACCCATAAGTTTATCCCGTAGTTTATCTCATGGTTCTCACATGTTCTCACCATCATGTACGTGGGTAAATTACAATATCCCCCTGGATCTAGGGGAGGGGGGTGCAGTGGGGGAGGATTTCTTTTAGTTGTGCCAACCATGCATTTCAGCCACCGCCTTTCATCTGAAACCTTAATCAAAGCCACGCCAAACCTGTGCCTGCAGAAGCCTATCACTTCTAGAGTGTGGTGAGTCCCGGCTACTTTTCAATAATAGAATAATATCCTCTCTTCTCCCCTCCAAACCTTCCCAAACAGCACAACGACTGCCTTGCTTAAAACCAATGGTTTTAAGCGAGGCGCTGCCCGTTCATTTTCTGTGATCTTTGGAGGTTTGTCAGAGGAGTGGAAGGAGAGGAGACGAGAGGAAAGGAAAAGGAGAGGTAGTTGAAAATCAGTGAAAATCAACAGGTTGAACCAACCTACCCCAAAAAAAGAATTCCAAACAGCAATTGCAAAATGAGAACCCCCCCGTCCGATTTCAAAATCAGGGCGAACGGGGGATATTACAATATTTCACTCATCTGAATTTTCAGATTGAAAAAATTAGGGGATGATTTCCGATATAAAAGTTATATATGGCCTATACAATGATGGTTATAAGCCATATATTTCATGATGATATGATGGTTATTAGGCCATATATAAACCATGATTTATGAGTTATAACCATCATTTATGGCCCATTTATCCTGTTGGTGACCCAATGGACGTCTTGCTGGGCCGAGGAGCGTGTTTCCATCCTCATCAAGGGTATCCTCGAGGGGCAACCCTTGAAGAGACGGCCCTTAAAATCAGTGAGTTGCTATGCCCAAAACCCAGGGGATATCGTGGGATGAATAGATACAGTGTGTATATCTAACTTGGTTAGCCAGATCGAAATAGGCCATCTCTAACTTATTTGGAGCAACTTGGAATGGCTGCCAGCCCTGGAGCTGGCCATGTTTGATCCATCCCCCATAGGGATTGGTCTGAAAAACGGCTACCTTCAAAATCTAGTGCTTCATAATGGTTCAGAAAATCATGTTTCCCATGTACCATTTAACATCCACTTGGGTGGTATACCCCATTTTCAGACACACCCATATCATTGAAATCATCCAGACCGTCCCTTGTGTGAAACAACACTCCTCCAGGGACATCTGGGTGGCGGCGAGCAGCTTTTTGGCCTTGAAAAAAGATGGAAACACCTGGTGTTCACCCAAAAAATGAGCTGGAATTTATGGATGTCAATCCCAAAGATGTGCACAATCCACCCCCATACTCCAAGAATGAAAAACCAGTCTTGATTGTGTGGTATAGGTTTGGCATCATACACCATGCGATGCTTTGGCTCCTCAGGAATTACCCAGGATTCGAATCTGATGAGTACAATCTTCCAGAAAGCATCCAGTTCCGCATTTTTCGAGGGAAGAGTCGTCGGCAGTTCATACTGGCGTTTGCTTGACTAGTGTTGAGATATGGTAAGATACTTGCTAATGTATGGCTCAAAGGCCTCAATCCATCAACCAGACTGAGCTTTGGGAGAGGCACGTCTTCAGCCACCATAAAAATAGTTCTTTCATGATGAGGAATCACTTCAACGCGGATTTGCCGATCCGTTTCATCATGTTTCCGGAACTGGGAATTTGCCACCCAACCTCCAGAACCATTGGAAAATCCTGATGTGGCTTTGTTGATCCATGTTGATATCCGTGAAGCTCTATGTGTTCATACATCCCGGTCCTATCCCAATATTTGAAACCCAAATTCAGCACCTGCCTGTGCCAGGCGCCCATTGAGGATGTGGTACTTGAGCTCCAGTACCACATTTCCGCCCATGGCTGCCCTTCCACCCGCCATAGCCTGCGGAAGTGCGACAGATTCAACAGATCTGAAACAAACATGAAGAAAACATGTTCAAAAACAAAAAGTCATGTGTTTCTGATGATACCATGTGTGTATAAAGGTCTATGTATAATCAGAGATATCATATACTGTATAATATTATGTATATATATATTATGAAGAATATGTGTCATGTAACATGTAACATTACAATAATGCATATCAACACTTCATGCAACTCTGAGATAGAGGTTGTTCCAATATGTTTGGGGCATATCATGTATTTGGATGTATGGGATATCCAAGCACAAAGTTCAGTTTGGGCATAGGGTTCTTTTCACAAGGATCCCGTGTTCCCATCCATCAGCGCCTGCGCCTAGGCCACAAAATTGCGCGTTGCTCAGCCGCCCCGCAGCAAATGGCTATCTAAATCTGGATGGTTTGGGGTTGGAGTACATTAAGATACATTAAGTGTATGTTGTTGTTGGGGTCTCTGCTGGCTGACGTTAGTAACGATGCCCCGTCCACTTCCCTTCAAACATCTTTGAGTCGGGCAAGCTGGGAAAAACAAGGCCCCTGGCACACAGCTTCGGGTGGTCCGGCCCCATAAGCATGGTGGTATATGATCTTATCCTTGGTGACTTGGTGGCTACATATATATGGTCGAATAAGACTCAACAGTTCCCGTGAAGCCCTTCTCGATGTCGTGAGTCACCACTTCTCTTCCAGAGCCCAGATGGCCGAGATTGTAATCAAACATGGCAACTGAAAATCCCTATAAATCTGGGTAAATTATAATATTTCACTAACCTGAATTGAGGCCATTTGGGGATGATTTCCCTTACTAACTATGATTTCCAGTGAGGTCGCAGTGAGGTCGTTATAATTTACCCAGATAAATGGAGATTCTAATGGGAAAATCATCTATAAATGGCGGAAGTACTGGAGAGTATACGTTTTATGGTCATCCATCCCATGATGGGAATCCTTATAGTGGGTATGTTAAACTAATTCATGGGTGGATGGCCATCGCCTTTTATGGGACCATGGCACGTGTGAAAATATACGCACCACCCAAGATGAATCAGTTTGACTGCGGCCTGTGAAAGAACATGGACACGTGACACGAGAACGAGCAAAATGTTGTTGTCCAAGCATCCCACACTTGGCACGCTGAACCCCTCAATCCGAACTCTTTCTTGGCCAAATTTAAGAGTAAACGCATAAAAATAAGAGGCAATTCAATTCTACCATCCATCCCCATCTTTCCATAATTTCTTGATTTCTTGAATGTCCCCAGCATTTTTTGCCATCCCCAAGCCCCGTCCTCCATGGTGATGCTCTTGGGATTCAAACTGAAGGTCTTGGTCACTTGATGCGCAGGATCCGGTGAGTTGTCCTGGAATCATACCCTGAAAGTCCAATGACTCATTTATCATCATTTATCCATCTAATAGTAGTGATAAATAAGGGGTAATAGTAGTGATAATCCAGATGGATAAATGAATTGTTTATCCATCTAATAGTAGTGATAATTCACCATGAAAACAAAGTTGGGTTATTAATGAATGAGTCATTGGGATAAAATCTGGGATATATATATATATACGGTAATATACTAGCTCCAGGAATTTTATACTACCTCCAGGGCCTCTCGGTCTGGCCCGCCCTCGATATGTTTAAATGTGGTTACCGTATATATATATATAATATACATTGATGTACATAATTGCTGAAATTAGCAACCACATGTATCAGATATTTCACATGTATCTGTGTATATATATATTTATATAATGTATACTGACACAATACACATCTTCAAACTAACACATATTCAGTGCGGGAATTGATTGATATTGCAAAGTCCCAAAAACAATGGACATAGACCTTCTCGAAGAAACAACTTTCAAGGGTCAGCGCTGACCGGCATTTTTTCACCCCCTGTGATGCATTGCTCGGATGCGTTGCCCCCTGCGATGACACAAATGCGCGAAACGCGCGCTGTCCACCGCGCTGAGAAGCGATGGAGCACAGCCAACAGCAACAAACCATGATATATTGGTCCTTGCCCAAAGGCTTCCAGATTGTGTGGCCAATTGTCATAATGAAAATATCCCATTCTGGGATACCCAAGTTGAAACCATACCCATATTGAGACATCGATGTGAAAAGCGTTGGCTGCCCCGGCTCTCAGACCCACGAGGTAGCACAAGAGAGTCTGCAAGTGGCCGCGCGCCACAACTCTCAAGTTTGACCAGAAACTATATAAGTTCAATGGGTAAATCGCGCAAGTCGGCGCAAATCTATGCTGATCTATGTCTCTTTCAGACAAGCAAGAGCCCAGAATGGTGCATCACTGGGTATCAATATTTATCAATTGCAAGGCACAATTGTTGCTCCTTCAAATTGGGACCTTCAAATGGACATTTTTTCATAGGGAAAGGTCTGTGGCTCCCAGGCAGGGCCGATCAGGGAAAGTCCGCTCAGTCAACATCGATTGGATCAGTCGGCCTCGGGGTGATCGCAATGGGTTGGTGATCCCATTCAAACACCCTCTGGTAAACGTTTACATAACTATGGAAAATCACCATTTTTCATGGGAAAATCCACTATTTCTATGGCCATTTTCAATAGCTATGTAACAAATTACCAGAGGGTAATGTCGAGGTCCAACCATAAAATCCCGCGAAAATTCAACATTCACAGCTCATTCACAGCTCCAACAGATCTGTGTTTAAAACAGAGGCGCCATTGTGTGAAAAAATATATAAATCATTTTACTCAGCCTTACAAGGCATCCCCCAAGGTCCAGGTGCCCCAAAAGTGGCCCGACTTCACCAAGTCTCTGGGTGGCATCTGCCAAGGGCGCCACCTCCAGGGTGGGCGCCACAATCACGTCTTGCGGCTTCTTGAAACAGAGCCTGTTGCGGGTGATCTGGAATCACCCTCTGGTAAACATACAAAAAACTATGGAAAGATCCACCATGTTTCATGGAAAAACTCACTATAAATGTCAATTTTCAATAGCTATGTTAGTTTACCAGAGGGCAACTTCTGAGAAAGACTCCAGAGATTTCTCGGAGATGTCCCCGGAGAGTTGGCAAGTCAATGGTTTGAAACTGGGTGTCTGCCTCTAATAGAAAAACACCAAAAGGTGTCGCAGCCGTGACTGTCGTGACTGTCGTGACTTCCCAAGTGAACAACATCTCCTGGGACCCAACACGAACTGTTGCACTCATCCCCCGGCACCACCCAGAACCCATACTCAATCGGGAATCAGCATGAAACATGTTTGACTTATTTAGGAATGAAAATTTGACAGGTCAAAAACTTAAAACCACCAACATCCAATCGTTCACATGTCAAAAATGTTGCCAGAAGAGTCTTGGTTGTGGTGCGTTCAACAAGTTCCTTTTTGGTGGTTTGAATGGGTTTTCATATATCCCCACAATTCCCCACATACAATTGGAGTGGTTCACCCCCCTCTCTCAGCGTTCCACCTGATATATCTCATCCCAATAATTTGGAGGTTGGTTTGGGGCTAAAAATACATATACATACGTGCACGTGTATACCTATATCATGCCATACCATGCCAAGCCATACCACTGCATCACCTTACGTTACAGTATACGGTATGTTACATCGCATTCACACATTACATTTCATTTCATTGGGCCACATTAAACTCCAATACTATATACACTATATGTCAACTATCTACATACATACTTCTTTTTATACAGTATATACATTATACGGTCATTGTGGGGTTCATATTCCATGGTATTCCAACTAGTTTTTTTGCAAACAACAATAAACCACCGATATCCACCGATATTTTACTGGTCTCTACAACACATTTATGGATAATTATGGTAAATTTGGGCACGTTTCGGGATGGTTGATGAAATCACCATTTTTATAGCTGGTATTAGTCTACCATTCCCAGTCATGGATGGTTTATGACATTGTTTTACTCACATGTCCCACATATTACTCACATGTCCCACATATCATATTGTTTTACTGTAAATAGGTGGTATAAACCATTCCCAACATTATTGCTTTACTCACATGTTATCCTCTGGTAAACTAAAATAGCTATTGAAAATGGCCATTTATAGTGGATTTTCCCATTAAAAATGTTATGTTAAATTACCAGAGGGTATCATGCGTTGAATTCCAGTTGTCGCCAAGCCACGTCTGTTGCTTTGGCCCCTTAGTATCGCTGCCAGTGCCGCTCCCACTGGGCTCCGCTGCACCTGCAAATCCAAATGGGGAGTTTATTGATGTAGTTATCATAATATATTTGGTTATATAATTATAGATGTGATGATATATATTTACATATATTATATGTCTGATTATATATATATATGCATGATTATATATGTATGTAACTATGATTAAATTATATATACGTATATATAATGTATATATGTGTGATTAAATTATATATATATGTGATTTACCGGGATAATACATTCTAGGATATCCCTTACAAATCTTGGCTGCAATCATTGACCACACATTCTATGGCACAAATCGGTCAAGTCTCTGGGTTTTTTTTCAGTTTTGATGCCCAGATTGGAGCAACAGAAGTTGGCTGTGTCTCTCAGTTTCGAAAAGTGGATTTCGCAACTGAAAAAAATCGGGGTGTCACAAACTAAAATTGGTACCTTGCAAAAGCAATGAGGAGTTTGACCAAGAAAAGCACTGGGCTGATCCTGGAACTCAGGTTTTTATGGCTGATGTGAAAATTGAGTTGTGGTTTTTCATCATGTTGTAATTAATATGTTATATTAAGCAACCTTCAAAGAGATAGAACAGTGATTTTGTTACTATTTTCGCTGAGATTTTACATGTCTACTTTTGGATGGTACTTTTTGCTGACTTACAGGATGGTTCTAGAACTGTGTTAATGCAGGATGTAGGCCCCTCAGATTCCGGGCTTGGGCGCAGGAATGCCAAATCAGCATGATGCACCGAAGGGATCCAAAGGGTTCATATGAAATTAGGGTTACCCCTATATGCCTATGCCTATATGTAATGTAGAAGAACAAATATGAACAGTCTTATGGAACCAATGGATTTTGGTACATTGCGCCGTGTCACATTTCCTACATCCCAGGGATTAGCTGGACATCGTTCACCTGAGCCATGAAAGTTATACCCCCAATCCCATTAATTAATTGTGCTAGTTAGTAAAGACACCTGTGGGTTATAGTATGTCATAGTATACCCTCTGGTGAACTAACATAGCTATGGAAAATCAACCATTTTTTTAAGGGGTAAATCCACTATTTATATGGCCATTTTCAATAGCTATTTTGACATAACCAGAGGGTACCCCCCCCATCCCCCCCTCCTGATGCGGCATCAGCGGAGTCTTCCACGTCTGGTTTGCTGAAGGTGCCCTGGCGTCAAATTTGCTATCCCAAACTGGGTATCCACGTAGCAAATGTTCCAAATAGATCCAAATAGATGAAGCAAAATCTGCGCTTCCCTGGTTTTTTTTTGTTGGGCCACACAAAATAAATGGAGCCAAATGGCATCTCCATCTAGTTTGATGAGTCAAATGGAACCTGGAGACAGCACTTACAGCAGGAAATGTGTCCCCAAGGCCCTTGCATCCTTTGAGCTGGACCCACACACCAGCAACAACCATCCTCTAGAAAAGCGGATAACATGTTTGGGTAGTGAAAATCAATTTATCAATTTTAGATGCTGTTCAAACCCTGATTTCTGCTTAAACCCTTGTGTTTTTGATAGTTGAACCAATTTGAACAACCATTTGTGCTGCTTAAACTACCATTTTCACTGCCTTAAGCTCCTGTTGTCCCCAAAAGCCATGGCCTTAGGACCCACTTTCTGCGCACCCAAACGGCTGGCTTGGCCATCCAGCATCACGCCCACATCGTGCTGCTTCCGCTCCAACATGTTGTACATACTCTCCTCAGGCTCTTTACATTCTTTACCCTCCAATCATGGTCGCTTTTGGGTTGGAAAATCCCAATGTTTTTTTCCGCAAAACATTTGGGATAATCAATGATAATCAATGATAATCATCCAGACATGGGTGATTTTCCAGTGCCAAGTGAAAACGTTCAACCAAGATCCAGTGCCCAAAAGTTCACTGCCGCTAGCTGTTTACCAGAAACCATTGGAGAACAGGAAACACCGAGAATGAAATGATCGACTTTTGGCAAACCAAAACATCCATTCCTCAAAATCAAAAGCTGATATGATACCCTGATCCGGTGAAGACTGAAAGATTCTCAACGGTTTCAGGTATTATTGCATGATCAAGAAACATGCCTTAAATGACACGAAACTTGGGGTTGAAGGCAATGGCAATGGCAGTTCCTACTCTCCAAACGGCAATTGTTCCATTGGGAAGTGGCTCATTTTCTTCCTCAAAGCCTGGCATCCACCGAGAGCCGTCTTTCCCCCATTTTATTCTGTCACCTCCGAGAGACGTCCAAAGTATCTTTGGCAATGAGATAATGGACCTGATAAAAAGCACTTGGAGCAGTGGCCCCCCGGCTATTCATCGAGCCGAATTAGGTTTCTGTTTTTGGTGTATGCTGCTGTCTATAGAGAATGGATCCAAACATATCCGTAAATATATCCGTCCTTTCTAGGCAGTGGTGAGACATAGATTTTTTGTGGCAAATGAGTGAGAACGAAATCAAGACAAGAAGAAGTGTTAAATGGTGATGGTTTTTTTGCATACAAGAATTTGAGGCTGAATCCATGCGTCCACATCCTCTAAAAGCTGACTTTGTCGATCTGGTGGGCTTGGCAATGATGGGCAGCCGGGATCGGTCAGAACATGTTAGAACCGAAGCCCACAAGTTGGATATCCCATTTGGAGCTGGCGTGTCTCCACACTTTCTGTTTTCCCATCCCCGCATGTTAAATACCCCCGATGTGGCCCGAATAATATTAACCAATTTAAACGAAAATCTAAGGCTCTTGGAGGATGTATTCCATATTGGGGGACAGGATTACCATCTGGCAATCTCAAAATGGAGGCATCTATAGATCCTGATTTTTTTTTCATCTATAGATCCTGGTGGATCAAAAGGTGGATATTCAGCTGCCACGTTTACCCAAGGAGTAGGTACCCAAGCGGCATCCGTCAATTTTAGCCCAGTGACATTCACTGACTCTTTCTGCCCCATGCGATGTGCTCGATCCTCCGCCTGGCGTCTGGCCATGTCTGGGTGACACGGTGACATGATGAAAGCTGTGATGTTTCACAACACAACCCACCCCCGTCCAGGACAATTCACAGAAATTGACAGATGTAGCAAATTTGAGCACAGAAAAATCTGATCATTTGATAATTAATTGACAATCAATTATGTAGCAACGAAAATCTGATAATTTGAGCACAGAAAAATCCAATGCGCAAAAGTTGTTCAACTCGCCCCGGCACATCGCAGCACATCGCACTGCGCGCATGGTAAGCGAATAAAGCCTTTCCTTGAGATATGCAATTCTTCAATATCGCAGGGTTGAACTACCAGGTGTATGTGAACAAGAAGCAGATCAAACAAACAGCAAGTCCAAACGGAACCAATGCTGTCAAGATCCAGGCATCTCTGTATTGGAGCCACGGATCAAAACCGAAATGTTGACACCAAAAAGGCCACGATTCAAGCTCAAAAACGCAGCTAACATGATGTTTCACACAAGTTTTCAATGTGCAAGTGCTTTCATCCGTCCGTCACTCGGAAGTTGACAAACTAAACTTTCTTTGAATATCTTTGAATATCTTTGAATATCTTTGAATAGGTAAATGATCTATAAATACTCATTGTCTATAGCTATATGTCAAATTACCGGAGGGTAGTTTCCGAACATCCTCCAACTGCCAATTTCAGGTCCGAAATTCTCAGGGGGCTGGTTCTCAGGTCCGAAACTTGTGGCCCGAAAATTTAATGGCTCTTAAAACTGTATCCCCCGGTGAAACATGGCTAAACTACAACCAGGGGTCAACATCTGACTCAGAGCAGCAAAATGAGCGAGTCGTTTGGATGGAACACTGAATCATCCCAGGGTTTTCATATGTTTTCATCATGCCTAGTTGTTTTAAAGAACTGATCGTTCTCCCAACAGTAACATACAGGTTCCCATCATTCGAGTAGCGATAGTCACAACATGTCGTCCGTGGGACGTCCCTGGAAGAAAAAAACAGCCAGCACCTGTAAGAGAACGCCCGGTGTCCAATGCAGCTCAGCAAAGACCACAGTAGAGCACACCTTTCTTTCAGCAGTTTGGAAGCAAAATTGGAAGGATATTATATATAAATACCATCATTAACCATACATATATATATATATTATATATATATAACCATCATCATGATCATGGGGTGGTATAGATTCCCAATAAAACCGGGACCTTGGATTTGCGAAAAAGGGGCTTGGAGCAAGAAAAAATCTTCTTCGTGGATTCCCCACAGAAGACCATCCAACGATGATCGAGTTCAGCGAATTTGAAGGGCAACCTGCTAAAATCAGGTTTGGAGCATCGAAAACCCTGGTGTTTGAGTATCAAAAGTGGCCGGTCATTTGTTTCGTCACCAGCCACTTTTACTCGTCAATAATCTCATGCCCCATGCTGTTGACAAGTTCTACAGGGTCAAACTTTGGGTTGCCCTCCAGGTATTTATGCTTGAACCATACCATGTGTGAGCAGTGCCCACAAATTTGTGTCATCACGCGCTGGTTGATGTTGATTCTCCACAAGCCTCATAAATCCAAGGAGGGGTTAGGAAGTATTATTCCAGCTTTTACCGTCAAGCACCAGGGATCACCATTGCTCATGATTATCTTACTATTGATTTTTTGTCAAATCCTCATTTGGGTCAGTTTGCGAATTTTGATTGACAAAATCCCCATTTTGGCAACTGAAATCCCAATTTTGTTGGCTCTAACACACCAATTCTCGTTGCTTAAGATGAGGTTTTGCCTTAAACACCAGTTCTCATGAAATTTCACCAGAGTTTCTCTGAAAATTAGGCTACTCCCAAAGAAATATCTCAAAATTCGGCTAGCCCAAAAAAAATCTCATAGTCATAGTTTACCCTCTGGTAATTTAACATAGCTATGGAAAGATCCACCATTTTTTTAGGGGAAAATCCACTATTTCTATGGTCATTTTCAATAACTATGTTAGTTTACCAGAGGGTAATCATGATTATTCACCAGTTCTCACCATGTCTTCCCCCACCGGTGTCACCTGCAGGTTCAAGCCCTGGCCACAGGCGGTGATCGACAACAAGGCCACCTGACCATGGGAGGAGTCCTGGATAGTCCTGGTGGGTGAACCTAAGGAAACCAATGATACGGATGACACCATGAAGCTTAAGCATATACCATCTGGTTATGACTAACATAGCCATGGAAAATCCACCCATTTTTAATAGGTAAACCCCGGTAAACCATCTATTTCTATGGGCCATGTTCAATGGCTATGTTAAATAACCAGAGGGTAATGATAATATCATGTCACATCATGTCATAGAATGGATGTTCTTCAGCATGAAACAAAATAAAAAACACATGGTGCCATGGATGATGAAGCCCGAAGGTGGCTCATCTCTCTTGATCCTCAAATCATTCTCCTTGGAAAAACTCCAGATGATGCATCAGCCGGCTTGGATCAAGTGCTCAGCGCGGAGAAAGTGGCCAAAGAAGAGGTGTTCAAGAGGCTGGATGATACCCTCTGGTAATTTAACGTAGCTATTGAAAATGGCCATTTATAGTGGATTGTCCCATTAAAAATAGTGATGTTCCATAGCTATGTTAAATTACCAGAGGGTAAGATATTCAGCTTGGGGGTCAGAAAAAAAGCATGATTCATCATGCTAATGATGCTGGGGATGATGGTGACGACGACGCCCAAGATGGCGACCTCAAAATAGCAATAAGAATTTCAGAACAGCAATAGTATTGCAGCAATTTTGCAATGACATCATCAATAACAATAGCAACAGCTGTTTAACAAACATTAACCAACATTAACCAACATTAACCATTATCATATGGTTTTTCTATGGTGGACCTATTTCTTAACAACCCATACCATATAGCAGCCGAAAAAAACACCATGGGATTTTTCTGGGCCATGGCCTCGGACCGTTGGGATGGTGTCTTAAGTGGTCCGACCTGATGTCCACTGTTTTGGTTGACCATATGTAGACCATTTATCTGTATAAATACCATGAAAAATATGGTCTATATATCATGTGAATCATGTGAATTTTTGTGGTCTATATTAAAATACCATTTACATAATTCAGATCTAAGCCATATATTATGTGTATAAATTAAATACCCGTGTCACCAGCAACCTGCAAATTCTTCTTGGATCGGAAGTCGTTGACCAGCTCTTCTCTGCGGTGCGACGAGGTCTTTCCATCAATACCTTGCGTTGCAGTTGGGATCTAAAGGTCTGGGCAAAGTCATATGGAGACTTACCTACAGTAGGGGTACCCGGGTACCCCAATATCTATAATATCTGGATGTGTTTTTTGGTGGAAAATCCCAAAAAAAAATTGGATGAGAACTGGGAAAACACCCATATTTTCCTTAGGAAACCTCCATATCAATCCATATCAAGTCCAAAACAACTCCCGCATCTGCCCTGTTACGGGTACATCATCCTATGTTTTTTGCGGCTTCCAATAAAGCCCGACCTGGTGATGTCGCTGCGAATTTTGTGTTTTTTCTGTGGATCAAGATAGCCAAAAATCCACACCAAATTTGGATGTACCCTCTGGTTATGTCAAAATAGCTATTGAAAATTGCCATTTATTTATAGTGGATTTAGCCATTAATAGCATGGTGGTTCATAGTTTGTTGTATGTTTACCAGGCCGGGTAAATGGATGTAAATGATGTTTTTATGGATGTTCATCCCCCATTTTTGGTATATGACTTGACCATACTTGACCCATCCCCAGGTCGAAAAGCTGCAGGGTTTTTCGAACCCAAAACCAAGCTGCGAATGAATCCAACCTGAGCGCAGGGTCAAGCCATTTTGAGGATCTCTAGGTTTAGTAGCCACACAGATAGTGTATACCTGAAGTTGCCTGAAGTTGCTAGCGGTTCTAGCGTTGAAATATGTTTGAATCATGTCAAAAACAGTTGATCCACAATCTCTCCATCCTTCTCAGAGTGTTGCTCTCTGACTCATTCCCCTCAACAAAACTCTCCACTTTCATGGTCATAAAACCCCCCTTTTACGGGCCCAGCCACCTTCATTTTTTCCAGCGTCTGTTGCATGGTGTCCATCACTGCCTGGTGGTGTGCGAAGAGCAGGAAGCGGCACTCCGCCTCGACGAGGTATTGAACCTCGGTGTTTCGCAGCATCGTTTTCGCAGCCCCTGGGCTGATGAAAAGCGCCATCACTACCAAGTCTTTAACATGACGATTTTAGATGAGAGTGGTATGACCAAACACCTATTTTAGATGATTTTGGAATATGGCATATCTATAAAACCGTACTCCATTTACCTACTGTGGCCATTTGGGGGTGCTGAAAGCTATATATACACACAAAAAAGGTGGGTCTGGCATCAGGTTGTCCACATCGATCTTCTGTAAACTGGTTGTGAGTTCAGGTCCAGTTGATAGGTGAGTATCATAGAGCATTTAGCCATAGCTACAGGGATTCTATCCCAACTCATGAATACTGGTGGTTATAATCATGGTATATCATGGTTATTGGTTATACTCAACTGCATACCTATGACACGCCAAACTGCTGGGGAATGGTACAGCTTGTCTCCCAACTTATGGTGGGCGTGGTTATCGCTGTCCTGGTTACAAGCATGATGCATGAGCAATAAGCATGCTTACCCTCTGGTAAACTAACATAGCTATTGAAAATGGCCATAGAAATAGTGGAATTACCCATTAAAAATTGTGATTTTCCATAGTTTTTTGCATGTTTACCAGAGGGTATAATCACGGTCATAGCCATCCGCGTAAGTTGGACTTGGGGTTATCCCATAAGCACTCCATGAAAAATCGTATGTTCCCATGCAGATACCCCCAACTGCAACCGCCACTTTCCTGTCCCTTCGACTACGCCCGGTGACATATTCCGCCACGGCCGCCATTTTGGCGAGGCCGGTGAGCCTGCGCACAGTGAAAAATGCTGAATTTGTCCCCCAACAATCCAGTGGTTAATCATTTTACCATGTATTTGTGTCTTTTTTCGGGGGTATACCCCATTTTCAAACACTATCATGTGGGCCAATCAAAGTAGGGACTTGATCAATGAAACATGATTTGAAAGGGGGATGGGACCCGAAGATATGGCAGTTCTTACGGTGAAAACCAGAAATAGTTTGGGAGTAATGCACCCTGGAGCCCAACACAAAAAGAGGCCACATTTGCATCGGAGGAGCCTCTTCCACCGAAATGTTGATGGAAAAAGGGGACAGCAAAAAGGTCCATTGGGAGTATACAATGGGCCCAAAGAAAACTTGAATGTGTGTTCCTTAGCTAGAAACAGTACATGTTCATGGTTTGCCCAATTCCGCCGAAATCAGGAAATCGCACCCTGCTGTTCCTGATAACAATCACATACTTGGTCGGTCGGTGGGTTCAAGCCCTCCCAGAAATATCCGTCCGTCAGGGATCTTCATCCCTTCAAGACTCCAAAATCACTGGGATGTATTGATGTTCAACCCAAATTATGTGCGCTGCCATGGTAAAAACATGATCGCATATGGTTTATGGTCATCCATTCCAAGCCATGGGAATCCTTATTATACGTACCTTTTTTTTTCAATCCCTATGAAAATGGTGTGATTATTCCCACCCAAGGACTGGGTATCCAATCCAACTAACTTGACAAGACTTGACTATGGCACATGTGGGGGTTTCCTAAGTCATGGGTACCTACCCCCCAAACTCATTCAGTTTTTCATAGGAGTTTCCATGAAAGATCAACCAGCATCATCCAGCTAAAGCTCAGATCCCCGATATCCCGAACCGCGGCCTAAACAGCTCCGGCGCGCTTCCCTGGCCGCAAATCGGCTGGTCAATGATGACCATCCCTTTAATAAGGGGGGAAAATCAATGAGATTAAATTAAAACAAATGTGTATCTATTGAATCTATTGTGCATCTATATGCATATTATGTACAGTATGTATATATATATATATATAGTTGAAAGCACCAACCAAAAGCCATAAGTGTCAATGAGACATTGTTACTGTTAGTTGTTATTTGGATTGTACTGAGGTGGTACCTGTGGGTCTGAGGGGAGAAAAATCCACCAGCCATCTGATGAAAATCCACCAGACTTCAGGAAGTCTCATGGCCTGTGGAGCGCTTCCATCTTCATGGCCTGGGCATTTCTCGCTGTTTTGAAAAACAAAGTGCGACCAAATGATTCAGATGACATGACCATCCTTTGTGCCAAGTCTCTTTGGAAATCTCTCATCTTTTCTTTCAATTCTTTGAGAACACCTGCGCTCACCCGCCGGGTGTTGGGGACGAGCATGGGCAACATGGCATGTTTTTCACCTTTCAAAACACATCAAGAGCCAACATACCACCATGAAATCAAAGTCCTTGTCTCTGGGATATACAAAAGCTGCTTTTGTCTAGATTGGGTTGAAAACACCTGCCAACAAATGGATAAAACAAAACGATAGTATCACATATCGTGTGAGGCAGCTAGGCAACCCCCAATTTTGTTTCTGGGATCATCCATACAAAAACCCAGTTTCCTTCAGCCTACTGCAGGGCAAAGTGGTGTTCACAGCCCATTACATAGTTTGTTTACTTCTCCCAATTTTGCATCCTTGCCACATGTCCGGCTGTGCTGGGAAAAACTTGGTTTCATCCCGATTTTCCTCAAACAGGGCATATCAAACCTTACTTAGCTGCCTGCAAAATGAATCTGTTCACTGTTCATTATCCTTCTTAAAGAATCTACCCTCTTGCAATCAAACATGGCAATGGAAGATCCGCCATTTAGTTCCGTGATTTTCCCATTAAAGCCTCCTATGATTCGCCAGCTAGCCATGTTTGATGACACCAAAGACCACCACACTTGTGGCCCACAAAAACACCTGCTCTGAAGTCCCTTCCCAGGTGGCACCCTGATCATTGCTTAGCTTCTCCAACACTACGCGTTGACGCCGCTTGGCGGGCAGTTGGTGCAAGACATCTGACCTCCGAAGCGTAATCCACCGGGGTACCCGGATGTACCCAGGCTAAACACCACGCGGAACCAGACGGATGCGTTCAACACACACAAGTTGGAATGTGAAGTTGGCCGAACAGGTCCAAAAATATCCCAAAACAAGGCATGACCATGAAATGGAGAATGAAAAATTCGGGATGCCACATCCTATCCATCACCATTCACAGCTGAAAATGACGGGGTGTTTCAGCAAGTCCCAGCGACTTGAACCGCCGCACCATGACCATATCCAAGATGGCATGCAGCTCCTTAGCATCTCGGATTTCCAGCAGATCATTATTAGCCAAGTCATCCATCAACATCAACTAATTATTGGAGGTGTATTAATATCTTGTGGGGGGCCGTAAATCATCATAAATCCACAAATCACTGATTTTCTGAAAGAAGTTTCACAAGTGATTTGATGGATCTATGATGTTTCAAACCACGATATTCTCGTTTAAATCATGAAATATAAATCCACAAACTATCATTATCTATCATTCTGATGGATTTAAACTAGTGGATTTAAAGATCAATGAGTCAATGATGCTTAACCATAGTTTTAAATCATTGCTTAAACTATCTATAGTCAAGATCATGGATCTTAATCAATAGTTATAATCATTATATATATATAACTAAATCCTCAAACTATATCATCAGTCCACCGCTGAGCCAAGCAGCGTCGCCCAGACGGGAACCCTCCCATTGCGTCACCTGCCGTCGTCCCACGTAGATCTTCTTCTCATTGCCTCGGTGCTGAAGACATGCTGGGCTGGTGGAATTTCGGTGGAAAATTTGATGAAAAAACATGTGTATATATATATGTATAATTATATATATATAATTGTATACATATATATATATGTGAAAGCAGCGCCTCTCTTCCAGGTCCCATTTCACCTTGTGGCATGTATCGAAGCCAACTTGCTCAACTCAGGCGAGAAACTAATGCAAGCGGGCGTGGTGTTTGAATCTAGGAAGATTCCAGTTGTTCCCCAGGCGGGGTTTCTAACTGGCAGCGGAGTCTGAATAGTGACACCCGCAGACCTAGGTAGGTCAGGGTAGGAAAGCAGCGCCATGGATGTGAAATCAGCGGATGGCCAGTCGGGCCAATACAAGCGCTTCTCTGGGGCATCGTTGGATGGCAAGGAGCTCCGGAAGTGGCGTTTGTGGTGTGAAGCCAAGATGGCATCACAGAAGGACATGGAACTCAAGCAACGAGGGCCGTGGGTATTCACCCTACTGGATGGGCTAGCACTGGAAGCCGTAGAGCATCTCACCATAGAACAACTGACGAAGGAGGATGGGGACAAAGAGATCTGGAAGATCTTGGAAGAGCGTTTCCCTGACAAGTTGCAGCATGACCTCTTAGCAGAATGCCTGAAAGAAGTGTTCTCGCTGGCCGCACGAGATGGCGAGAGCATGGCTGAGTGGGCCAGCCGGGTCCAGGAGAGTTTCTCCAAATGCCGACGAAAGGTCTCAGTGGACTTCCCCTCTGAAGCCAGAGGCTGGGTGGTTCTCAACTGCAGCGGCCTCTCGGCCGATCAAAGGGCCATTGTGACCGCGAAGTCAGGGGGCATCCTGAAGTTCGAGACCGTAGTAGCGAGCCTGAGGTCGTGTTTTCCAGACTATGTCGTCAACTCCAAGACCAAGAAGGTCTCTCCAGTGATGGTCGTCGCCCACCAAGATGAGGTGAATGATGAGCCCCCTCCTGAGATGGATGCGGGGGATGCTGTTGTCTTTGAAGAGGTCGAGGCCTTTCTGTCTGATCACGGCATCCAACACACGGATGTCGAGCCTGGTGACTTTGACGAGACAGAGACGGCCGAGATCCTTGCTGCTACTTGGAAAGAGCGACGCACTGAGATCGCAAAGCTGCAGCGCAGTCGCAATTTCCGCCAGGCAGTCAAAGTGCAGCAGCAGTTCAAAGAGGATGTCAGTGAAGTAAAGAAAAGGACTAGGTGCCGTCGCTGCAACAAGTTGGGGCATTGGGCCCGTGAGTGCCCCCTCCCCAAAGGCGGCGGGAAGGGTTCAGGGTCCTCAGACAAGCCTTCTTCAGTGTCTACGGTAGCAATGGTAGTCGAGAGAGAAGGAGAGTCAGAACACGCAGAACCCGAAGAAGTCCTCCTAGTCTCTTCACCTGGATTCGGAATCATAGACTCTGGCTGTGGCAAGACGTTGATAGGTCAAGAGACCCTCAACCAGATGATGCGTATGTACCAAGCCCAGGGTCTGACGCAGCCTGTGATGCGTCGCCAGGAGAACCTTTTTGCTTTTGGCAACAACAAGGAGGAGCTTACTGAATTTGTGGTAGAGCTCCCCATCGGGATCAATGGCAAGGCGGGTCGGGTTGAAGCAGCGATCATTCGAGGCCCTGCTCCTCTGTTGCTCAGCAGGGGAACCATGAAAAGTTTGGGAGCCTCTCTGAACTTCAGCGACAGCTCTCTTTCTCTAGAGGGTGGACCGTCACAGCCTCTCAAGATCAACAGTGCGGGCCAGTATATGATCGATGTCATGGATTTTCCTTCCCTTCCTGCTCATGAAACTATGGTGATTTCCGATGACAAGCTTACTGAGAATGCCATTGTTCCGAAATCCACGAATGTGACTGAGTATGTAGACATGAACACACATCTAGTTCCCCATGGTGATGATTGCTCATGTTGTTCTGGGTTTGAGGTATTGTCAGGTGATTCTAGAACTCTTACATGCCGAGAACAACGCTGTGTGATGTCACGACATGCAGCATGGACAAAGGGGCAATCAAAGTGTGTTGTCGCAGGGCTCTTCTCTCCGCCCCGTTTTGCTCTGGCCGCTCAGGAACGTGGAGCCGAAGGTCTCTCCTTCGACATCAAGCAGGGATGGGACCTCCTTGACAAGAAGGTCCAACAGCAGGTCTCTGGTGTCTTGGAAAAGAAGCGTCCTGAGCTCCTGGTGTTATGTCCAGAATGCAAACATTGGGGGGGCTGGTATAGACTCAACCAGACAAAGTTGCCTTTGTGGGAACAGATTCACAACAAAAGAGTTGCGGAAAAACAAGCTCAGTTTTGCGTGGATGAAGCCAAAAGACAAATCAAACGTGGAGGAAGGGTTCTCATCGAACACCCGTGGAGTTCCGGACTTTGGGAGTTTGCACCGATGAAGAAGCTCCTGAAGCAAATGCACCTGTGCAAGGCGTCCATGTGTGCCTATGGCTTGAAGTGCCCCGACACAGGGATCCCGGTGTTGAAACCCACGGGTTTGGCTGTGTCCCATGATGATATGGTAGAGCTCGCCAAGTGTTGCCCAGGACACGCACAGCATAGGGTCATTGCTGGTAGGTGTAAGGATGGTCAGAACATTAGCGCCAAAGCTGCTGTTTACACTTCAGAGTTTGTTCACACTTGGCTAAGTAGTGTTTGTCCATCACCTTCCCTGTGTGCCTTTGCATCCGTGCAGGATCCTGCGACACCCAGTGAGTTGATTCAAGTAGTGCATGAATGTTGCGCCCAGGAAGAAGGGTCTCCTGAGAACCTCAAACAAATCATCAAAAAGTTACACAACAATCTGGGTCATCCCCAAAGTGCTGACTTGATCAGGGTTCTCCGAAATGCTGGAGCCACTTCTCAGGCTTTGGAAGCAGCTCGCCTGTTCACGTGCGAGATCTGTACCCAGCGACAGAGGCCAACACCTTGCCTCCCTGCGTCGGCACACTCTGTGGTCGATTTCAATCACAGAGTAGGCATTGATGTGAAGATTCTTCCGGGTTGGGCTGTCAACCAAAAGGTCAAGTGTCTCAATATAGTTGACTGGGCAACAAGCATGCAGATCATGGTTCCTTTTCACCAACAAGAAACCGGAGAGGTCTTGCGTCAGCTCTTCATGAATCACTGGATGAAGTGGGCTGGACCACCAGTTGAACTTTTGATGGACCCAGCACGAACCAATCAATCAGAACTTTTGGTGTCAAGCTTGGAGAATGCCGGTATCCGAGTTCTTACTATAGCAGCCGAAGCACATAACCAATTGGGGAAAGTTGAGAAACACGGACATCTGTTTGAGGTGGTGTTTGAAAAGGTGCTGGATCAATGCCAACCGGGTGACAAAGAATCCTGGGAACAATGTGTAGTGCAAACTATGAATGCCAAGAATGAAATGTTGAACCAGCAGGGTCTCTCCCCCTATCAACATGTTTTTGGTCGTAACCCACGTGTTCCTTTTGATGTTCTCCAAGAAAACCCGGATGCAGTTTCTGGTACAGTGGCCCTCCATGATTCCAGTTTTGCAAAGTCTCAAGCTGTAAGAACAGCTGCACGAGTGTCCCTGGTACAAGCCCAGGACGAGCAGACCCTGCGTACAGCACTCAATGCTCGACCGCGAGCCGAGCGAGAATTTTTGCCTGGAGATTTTGTCTGCTACTGGCGCACTCAGAAGTACCAGAGAGGAGTCCGTATTGTAGGTGGCAGGTGGTATGGTACGGCAATTGTCATGGGCAAAGTAGGTCGCAACTTACTAATCTACCATCGCAGAAACATGTTCAAAGTTTCTCCTGAACACTTACGTCATGCAACTTTGGATGAGAGAGCAGTGGCACAAGCCGATGGTAGGGAGTTGTTAGGAATAGCTGCCATGGTAGGAGAAGATGGTAATCTTAGGACCAGTCAGTATGTGGATTTGTCCAAGCAAGAACTTCCAGAGATGCCAGAACAGCTCCAACAGGGTCCTGAAGCGTCCTCCAATGCGGTAGACATTTCCGCTGCGACCGTGCCGTCCCAGGCAGAAGCCCTGGAACCTGCAGCGCTCTCTACTGGCGCTCCTGGTGCACCAGAGATCATGGAGTCCAACTCTCCCGAGAGTTCAAGTGTTCCTATTCCTGATGTAGTCCCCCAGATGTCCACCCGAGCTGAACCGTTCCACAGCAGTAGCAGTAGCTCATCTCAGGTGAAGCCTCATTATGGTCCCATAAGATTTAGGCATAGCACTAAGAAACCTGAGGTTCTCTATAGACCCCCTGAAATGGTGCAATCTGACTTTCAAGAAGCCTCCTTGGAACTGTCCCGAGAGAAACGAGCTGCCAGTCGAGAGCCAAGCTCCGAGCCAGCACCCAAGCACGGCAAGTTCTCCGGTGACTGCATGTTGGCTCTGGCAAAGACTGTAGAGTGTGTTGAGGTTTTTCTAGCAGGGTTCCTCAAAAAGAAGCTGCAGACTGAGCTTCATCACTCAAACAATCCCAGTGATGTTCAAGAACTAATCGATGAATCTAAGGTTGTTGAGTGGTCCACCTTGTTGCATGAAAAAGGGGTAATTGAGGTGATAAATCCCAAACAAGCTGATGAAATCAGAACAAGGCAACCCAACCGGATCATGTCCAGCAGGTTTGTCATCACCAAGAAGGTGGAAGATGGCCAGACTCGCATGAAGTCACGATGGTGTCTGCGTGGGCACCATGACCCAGACCTAGTGAAGAAGGTGCTGTCTGGCAAGTGTCACTCGCCGACCCTGTCTCAGCTGGGACGCAACGTCCTCCTACAGTTGATTGTCAGCCACAAGTGGACTATGAATCTTGGGGATATAAAAGGGGCTTTTCTGGAAGCTGATGTTAGCGAACAGCTGGAGCAGAATCCTGTTTTTGCTGAGCTACCCCCAGGGGGAGTACCAGGTGTGGCTCCGGGAAGTCTGGTGAGAATTCGAGGAAATGTGTACGGTGCCAACGATGCCCCTCACAACTGGTTCGTTGAGTTCAATCAAGTGGCACAGAAATGTGGTTTTTCCCAATCTCGTTTTGACAGCTGCGTTTACTACTGTTACAATGCGGAAGGCACTCTGGAAGGGGTTTTGGGAGCACACGTGGATGACACTCTGACGGGTGGCAGTGGCAGCACTTACGATCGTGCGATTGCTGAGCTGAAGGCCAGGTTTCCCTTCCGAAAATGGAGATCAGGCCATGGAGAATTTCTGGGGGTAGAATACACTCAGGACCCCACCACCATGGAGATTGAATATCAACAGAAAGACTATGCTCTCAATATTCAACCCATCAAACTCTCTAAGGAACGCGCTCGAGAACACTGGAAGCCGGCCAACGATCGTGAGATTTCCGCCCTCCGGGCAGTGAATGGGGCCTTGGGGTGGCTGTCAGGCCAATCACGACCCGACCTTTGTGTTCAAACCTCCATGTCTCAACAGTGTTTTCCCAATCCCACAGTTGAGAATCTCCTCCAAGCAAATCAAGCAGTACGAAGGGCTAGACAACATAGTGATATGACTATCAAGGTACCTTACATACCTCCTAGTGAACTCACCGTGTGTTTCTGGTCGGATGCAGCCTTTGCCAACGCCGTGGATCACCGAACTCAGGGAGGCTGGATTGTAGGTCTTACCAGCCAAAAATTCAGCCAAGGTCATGACTGTCCTCTGAGCTTTGTTGGTTGGAAATCCTACCGTCTTCCCAGAGTGGTGTCCTCCACACTCGGGGGGGAAGCCCAATGTTTTGCCAGCGCGTCAGGCATAGCAGAATGGTGCATGTTGATTTTAGCTGAAGCCTTGGATGGTCCCTTCTTATTATCTGAAGTAGACGAGGTCCTTAGCCGTAGACAGCCAATAGGAATGAGCGATTGCCGATCTCTCTACGACCATTTGGTTACCTTAGGATCTGGAGGCACTTTAGACGACAAGAGGGTAGCCATCGATATAGCTGTGATTCGACAATGCATACAGCGAACTCGTTTGCAACCCAGATGGGTACCGACAGATCGCATGGTCGCTGACGGCCTGACCAAGGACAAAGGAGAGCCGCATGACTTGCTGCGCTCAGTGCTGAGAAATGGTAAGTATCAACTAGCTGATGAACAGTTGGTCTTAGATCGAAAGAAAGAGGAGCGTCACCGTAGGCAGCAGTTGGGAAAGAGCCGTAAACAACAGCATGATGAACAGCAACGTCAGTCCGTTTGCACGTCTGAGAAGAGTGAAGAGGCTGAGCCATGTTTTCTAATTTGGCCGATACTGAGCGAGTAGGAAACTGTTCTTCTCAATGGGTTGCCTATTATCTCAAATGGGATCAGTAGGAAAGAGATCAGTCGTGCTTGCCTTTTTGCATCGTGCCTCTGCATCCGAATAGTCATAAGTACCAACATGTCTGCTTGAGTCAAGTGATTGTACAGTTTTTCGCATGCCAGTGTGAAGTCAAGGTGATAAGAGCTCTAGTTTTCCGTCCCTGCCAAGTGATCTCTCGTGGAATCAATTAGGTCCAGCCATGTCCACATACTCTTTGCCCGTGTCCCAGGATGAAATTGAAGTGGTCAAAAAGATCCTTGCCCGCATGGAAGCTCACGGTCAGAGCCTATCCTCGTTTGTTCAGCCTCCGGCCATCTCCGGTGGTTCTATGACAGATGGCAGCAAGCGTGTGCATGCCGCCGTGGAGCCCAGTGAGAATTTGTCGGAGGAGGAAGATTCTGCCTTTGATTTGATCAGCGAGGTGGGTGGTTGTGCCAAGAAAGGGGACAAGTCAGCCCAGAAGCCTATGGCTCCTCAGATCTCCTTGCCTCCGATGGTGAACAGTCTGGAAAAGTGGGGGAAGACTGCGTGCACCCTTCCCAAGGTGAAGGCTGACGATGTGACCTATTATCAGATTGGCACTTTGCCGAAGTACCGTGACTATTGCGACTGGGTCTTCAAGCAGGGTGAGAGCAAGGGTGCCAAGTGTGTGGACCTTCGCAACTATTTGATTGCCGCTGGTCTGGTGTCAGAGCCCGAAGGGGTTGTCTTTCCTGGCACTACCGAGCTGCGTCGCTTTCGAGATTGATTATATCCTTGGCATGTGCTTTTGAGCTTCTTTATGGGATACCTGAGTCAGTGAGAGAGCTCCAATGCTGCAATTTTTACTTTCAGAATATAACTCAGACGAAGTTCTGAGCAAAACCTTTTTCTAGGAGAGAAAGAGGAGTGTGAAAGCAGCGCCTCTCTTCCAGGTCCCATTTCACCTTGTGGCATGTATCGAAGCCAACTTGCTCAACTCAGGCGAGAAACTAATGCAAGCGGGCGTGGTGTTTGAATCTAGGAAGATTCCAGTTGTTCCCCAGGCGGGGTTTCTAATATATATATATATATATGTATGTTCTACCTAAAGTGTGAATTTGGGTTAGACCCCTAAATTCAACGATGCCGAGAGTTTGAATCACAAGGGAAGCCTCTTGGAACTCGCTGACACTTCAGAGATGCGTCAAGGATTCTGAGGCGCCATGGCCACAAACATTGTCATGTTGGGTGGCTTCTGAAAGTCCAAAACTGAAACCGCAAATGGTCTGTAGCAAACCTGAAGTAGTTTTAAAAAGTTGGACACCTGGAAACTATTGGGTAAACTATCATCTATAGCACCCTGGAGAGGTTCTCTATCCTGTTTGGGCTGTATCGTGCCCAAATCAGCTGGGTTGTAAGGTCTTCAAGAGACATCCACCCAAAAATCGGAGAAACTCAAATCAAACAGCTGATAAAAGCCAGGGGGCAATATCTCTGGCAGAACTTGTTGTGAGCGTCTGGCAACAGGCCCGGAAGCAGGCCTTAGTTGGGTGCAAAAACCCATCATTTTCCCTACCAAAACCTCGCCCCCAACCAGCTCCAACCAACTCCCAGCGGCTTTGTAGCAAGGCGTATAGTTCGGAGGCCTGGCCGAGGAGAGATTGGGTCGAAACGCTAACTGAATGACTTGACCCACACCCAAGTCCTATGTGTATATGTGTAAATGTGTATGTATGTTGTGTGTGTATGTATGTATGTATGTATGTATGTATGTGTATGTATGTATGTATGTATGTATGTATGTATGTATGTATGTATGTATGTATGTATGTATGTATGTATGTATGTATGTATGTATGTATGTATGTATGTATGTATGTATGTATGTATGTATGTATGTATGTATGTATGTATGTATGTATGTATGTATGTATGTATGTATGTATGTATGTATGTATGTATGTATGTATGTATGTATGTATGTGTGTATGTGTGTATGTATGTATGTATGTATGTATGTGTGTATGTATGTATGTATGTATGTATGTATGTATGTATGTATGTATGTGTGTATGTGTGTCTGTGTGTGTGTGTGTGTGTGTGTGTGTGTGTGTGTGTGTGTGTGTGTGTCTGTATGTATGTATGTATGTATGTATGTATGTAATGTATGTAATGTATGTAATGTATGTATGGTATGTATGTATGTATGTATGTATGTATGTATGTATGTAGTGTATGTTGTGTATGTTGTGTATGTATGTATGTATGTATGTATGTATGTATGTATGTATGTATGTAGGTATGTATGTACATACGTACGTACGTACGTACGTACGTAGGTACGTATGTATGTATGTACGTACGTATGTAGGTATGTATGTATGTATGTGTGCATGTGTGTGTGCATGTGTGTGTGCATGTGTGTGTGTGCATGTGTGTGCATGTGTGTGCATGTGTGTGTGTGCATGTGTGTGTGCATTTGTGTGCATGTGTGTGTGCATTTGTGTGCATGTGTGTGCATGTGTGTGTGCATGTGTGTGCATGTGTGTGCATGTGTGTGTGCATGTGTGTGCATGTGTGTGCATGTGTGTGTGCATGTGTGTGCATGTGTGTGCATGTGTGTGCATGTGTGTGCATGTGTGTGCATGTGCATGTGTGTGCATGTGTGTGCATGTGTGTGCATGTGTGTGTGTGCATGTGTGTGCATGCATGCATGCATGCATGCATGTATGTATGTATGTATGTATGTATGTATGTATGTAGTGTATGTTGTGTATGTTGTGTATGTTGTGTATGTTGTGTATGTATGTATGTATCTATATGTATATGTATGTGTATGTGTATGTGTATATGTATATGTATATGTATATGTATATGTGTATGTATGTATGTAATGTAATGTAATGTAATGGAATGGAATGTAATGGAATGGAATGGAATGTAATGTAATGTATGTATGTATGTTGGTTTGATTGTTTGTATGTTTGTATGTATATATATACGTATGATTATGTACTGTTTGTTAAATTTTCCAATCATTTATATCCCCAGTCTATCGCCATAGCAATTTATCTGTGACCACAGATATGTGTATATATATATACACATACATACATAACGTAACATTACATTCCATTCCATTACATTACATTAAATTATCATACATATTTAAATATGTATCAATAATACCCATAAAATTGTTGGCCTTATACCCGCATTTCTTTAAGGGCAAAACCATCAACCACCAAAATGGATTGTCAATCACAATTTCCCCCCTTGAAATGTCAATATTGAGGCGTAGCCCCTATTTTTAGGGACAAAGACAAATCATATGTTCGGTTAGTCATATCCCTCTTATATCCACATTCTACCCCAAGAATGATTATGATATGACTATATAACCAAAAATATGGGGATATAAATGAATAATTATAAACATCTACCCCAAAATTCATATCATATCCCGAATATCTGGTTGGTGTCATATCCGTCATATCCCCATTCCTTTCGACAAGGGCCACCGCGTTTAGCCCGGCGCCTTCGCAAGGGCAGGCGTTCCCGTGAGGAGCGCGCAGCGTCGGGCACCTTGAAGTACGGGACGCAGGGCCTGTTGCGAAATGTGGCACAGCTGCCTGGTGGCAAGGCCATCGTTTATGCTAAGCTGACCAAAAAAGCTAGGTGAATTCTATGGTGAAATAGGTAGATGTATAGTCAAAGGTTCTAGAAAGCAATTTGTAACTGGGGGTCTCACCTTGTATGGATCGGATCTTGTTGTGACGGGTCAAAACCCTGGTGGACATCAAAATAGCACAATAGAACGCTTGCCGCGCAGCTCCATCTAGTGAATCACGGCCATCTAGTCGGGTATTCCCCATAGACGAAAAAACATGATGTTGTTGCCTTTTGTTAAATCACTTATATATTATAATAATAATAATAGTAATAATAATATATATATATATATCATATGTCGAATTAGATTGGTATACCCCCCTGCCGTCAGGGTTGCTTTTTTGGCCACCACAGATACGGCCGTTTGGGGGGTAAGCTAAATAGAGTTGAGTTCCAATTTTGGTGAATCACCGATTCCATTGACCCTCGGTTGATATCGGACCCAGCTAGCCATGGTGACCGGAGGAGCTGGCCGCTGGGTTCAACTGGCTTTCGGCATGTGGTGCCTGCGATCGTTGTGAGCTCGGCGACTTCAAATAGTGCGCCTGACGAAGGCGGAGGTCCAGGATGGTGCAGGATTCAGGAACCAGCAAAGGACACAGGGCTCGGCTTCCTAAATGGATTTAGGATGGTTTAGGTAGAATCTACAGGAAAGCATGGATCAGCTATGCTTATCTTAGATTCTTAGATTAGAGATCATTAGAATCATTACCCCAGAAAAATTCGCTGCCGAAGGGGTGGAGTATACGCTCGTGGTGTTTCCTTGAAACCACCAGCCACCAACCAGTGGACAAAAAGACGTAGAACTTCACACAACTGCCGCATATGAACCATTAACCCATGTCCACCCTCTAAGCCTGGCTACGGATCAAGACCCTGGTGCTTTATAGCAGCTTCTACAGAGCTGTAGGTTCATCCCTTCCATTTCTCCCCATTTCTCCCATGCCTATGAAAAAAACATACCCTTGGGTGTCATGAAACATGGCTAGGAAAATCCCGAACTCAATGGAGGTTTCATGGGAAATATATGGAAATATGGCAGTGTGTCAAAACCTTGTACCCCTGGTGAACATCAAAATAGCTGGTAAATGGATGTTCATCCCCCTAAAAATGGTATTAATAGGTATTGATCCATACCCATATAGTGGATTTTCCCGCCCTGGAGCTGATTACCAGAGGCTAAGTGGTTCCGCCCAACGCATCGCAACGCCTCATCACAGATCACCATGCGATAGGGACGGCCAGCAGGTGTGCGCCGAAAGGTCTCCTGTCCGTCGAATGGTGCCCGATTTTCCAGTGCTTTGGAACCTCATGATACCCCGTGTTTCACTGGCCATACCTTGGGGATTCTTGGGGGGTTATACTCCATTTCTGGGCAAATGCCGATTGTATATGATTGTATACTGTCAATTGAAGAAACATACTGCAAGTCCCGGCATTGACAAACAACAACTTCTGCCAGTTGGATCCTCTGTACATCACAGCTAGATGTTTCATCATCTTCCGGTTTCAACGTTCTCTATTCTCAGTTAGCTCACTTTTCCCCGGGTCCCGCTCCAAAGCCTGCCCAAAGCATTCCAAAAAAAAATCCTACCCTCTGGTAAACTAACACAGCTACGGAAAATTACCCATTTAAATGGGAAAACTCATTATAAATGGCAATTTTCAATAGCTATGTTAAATTACCAGAGGGTAAACATCATCAACATAGCTCGTTTAGTCCTTGTTTGCCTCTGCTTATCTCCACACCGACCCCTGTTTCCCGGCGTCATGCGCAGCGACCAAGTCATAACTCACCACCACCACCCGCGCGTTCATCCGCAGCTTCTCTGAGCCCTTGCGCACGATCTGCACGTGCTGCTCCTGCAACAAGGGCCTGGATGGGTCAGGTGCTCGGGGCACCACACTGAAGTGGGAGAGCCACATCTTTTCTTGGTACCCTCTGGTAATCAAACGTGACCTGGCTGGAAACTCCAATAAATGGAGGTGTACATGAGAAAACCAGTAGCTATGCACGATCATCTAGATGCTTCGGAGATATGTCCAAAACAAAGGGGTATAGTCATCTCACCATCATTGGGGATTCATTCCAATGGATTCAATGGATATACATATATGTATATACTGTATGTATATATATATATATGTGTATATATACAAATCCCTACTAATGGATGGATGACCATCCCCCAATATTGGAAATCAACCCTTGTTTTGACCACGGCATACATGTACTTCGAGTCCACAGAAATTGTCACAGGGGTTAGAGCCATTGAATTGGGAAACCATCCAGAGGCAGGCACCTGGTCAAACATGGGCAGGGGATGAAATGGGATATCCAAGCAAACATATGGATGTGGGTCAAAACCCTGTACCCCCAGTGAACCTCAAGGTTCATGGTCATCCCTGAAAAACCACATGATTAGTAGCTTTTGACCCATACCCATATCATATCTGGGGCCATTGAAATCATTTTTCAATGTGGCAAAAAAAAACATGATGATAAACCCATGGATTTTTACCCATGGGATGGAATGGGATGGTCCCACAAGTCCATGATATCTCCAGAAAATCTCCCAGTGGTTTTTGCTTAGAAAAGATGCCCAAGTTGATTCGAAAAAAAAACAGAGATTTCTGTTTCATGCTCATCTTTTTTATCCAAACTCCAGGTGCATGGGACTTGTAGGCATTGTAGGTGAACACCTTCCAGGAAGCTCTCCAGAATCAAATCTTCAAAGTACTTCAAAGACGTTGAAACGCTGCATGTGAACAAGACACTTCATGACGAAATTTCTGCAAAACATAGATATACAATGATATTATCTGGATAAATCATGATAAATCTTCATAGTTGTCCAGCCTGAAATAAGCACAGTTTTGGGATAATCACCCTTTACCAATCATCATTCCAGTGAAGCTCATCCACCAAGTCCGCCAGTCCGGGTCTGGAAGCACCGAGGAAGGCAACCATCGCGAAGCTTCTTCCAACCAGTTGCCCCGCAAGGAGGAAGGGCACACCTCAGCTGATTCCAAAAGGAAAGCTGATGGAAAAGGATAACATAGGAGAATCATCTTCCAAAATCAATCTTCCTCTGTTTATTGGGTGCTGAAAAGTGAGTTTTCAGAGGTACAATCCACTTCATAGCTATGACAAATCTGACCAACTCGCAATGACAATCCCTGCTGCTCCCAGTTATAAGCCTGGTGATTCAACTGCTAGATAACCCGTCAGCCATTGGGACATTTATGCCATGTCATAAGTTCATGAAGAATCACCAAAAAATTCAGAAATGCATCACTAGATCAACCAACAGTGATTGGTATATTCATAAACGTGCCTATAGTGTGTATATATATATATTATGTATATATATATTATGTATATATATATATATTATGTATATATATTATGTATATATATTATGTATATATATATATTATGTGTATATATATATTATGTGTATATATATATATATTATGTATATATAACCCAAAAAGAGTATTGAATAAACATCAACAAAGAACACTTGAATTTTCAATGTCTTCAGAACCGGGCCCAAGCACCACCAGCAAAGGGAAGTCCTTGGGGAATTGCGAAGCCAGTGTCAAGGCCTCGCAGAGGACACATCGAAATGTCTGGAACCTGGAAAGGTCGATCTACCCGGCCTGGTTATGTGAAAATAGCTATTGAAAACGGCCATAAATAGTGGATTTGCCCATGAAAAATGGTGATTTTCCATAGCTATGTTAAATTACCAGAGGGTAATCTGGGTGGCTCCAATCATCTATGATCAAGCATGGTGACCCCCGCTTGAATGCAGCATGAACCCTGAAACATGTGGCCAGAGGAGGATTCCGACGTGGAAACGGACCGTGTGACCCGAAGTTATCTTAGCCAATTGATCAGATCTTGTTTGATGGTTTATACCATCCATCCAGATTGTGATTTTGAGGATGGTGTATTCGTTTTACCACACTAACTATTATAGTTGAAATATCGTTCATTATGGCAAAAAGTATACATACAGTAATTCGCTGGAGGTGCATCCCCCATTTCACATGGCTATCTACAATATATACTGCTTGGTGGTAAAACAACCCCTCCGAAAAATATGACAACTCGTCAGTTGGGATGATGATTCATTCCCAACTGAATGGAAAGTCATAAGATTCCATGGTTCCAGTCACCACCAACCAGCTGTTGCTATTGATCCATAGCCATGTGAGTTTTTCCCCAGGCCCGGCCCGGCCCCGTCCTGCGCGGTTTTGCCCAGTCCCATCTCGTCCCCGAGCAGCACACGGCCGCCACGGCTCAAGGCAAACTCCACCTGGGTCACCCTACGAATAACTGGGACTATCCAAGAACAATGAGGATTTAGCCTAGCCAATGAGCCAATAATATGATTTATATATATATATATATGTGTATGTATATACTTATTTATTTGTGTGTTTATTTGCCTAGTTATATATTTATATATGTATTATAATGGATTAAAAATGATTGATAGTGATCGATGGGAGGATTGATAATGATCAATAGTGTTTGATGATCAATGATTAATGGGATAGTTAGATATTATGATGAACAATGATGGGATAAATACTGGGATGATAATGATCAATAGCTTTTGATGATGATGAATAATGGGATATAGCATCTATTAATAGTGATTGACAATGATCAATGATGGTTGATGACTAATGATGATGAGTAATGATTCACGATTCAATGATTCTTAGAAATAGTCATAGAATGATGAATAATGGGATTTCTCGAAGAAAAGTGAGGAGTTCGCCACCAAACAAATGGGGAGATAATGGGATCTGCCTTCCGGTCATCAAACATGGCTAGCTGGGAAAACTCCCCGAACTCAATGGATGTTGCTGGGAAACTCTTTGAACTAAATGATGGACTTTGTAGCCACGTTTGATTACTGGGGGGTCCAACACCCACCTGGGTAAAGTGGTAAAATGATGTAAAATGGTGATACAATGGGTAAATAATGGGAATATAGTGGGGATAGAATGGGAATAGGATGATTTGGGGGTGTCTGAAAAATTGGGTATACGGTGTATATGGGTATACCGTGCCCATGGAATGGCAATCTAATGCGGAAAATGATGATTCACCAATGGATGCAGTTTTACCATATGTTCAGACACACCTCATGTACGGGGTTACTGGAATTTCATGTCATGTGGAAGTCTGAAAGTAGAGATAGCCATCTCCATTCTGGAGAGAAGAATCATGGAAAATCCTTATCGCAGGCACCCACGGAGCTCCTTAAATTGGCCGCTCCTTTTAAATTGGACCGTCTTGGACAATCGTCGGAGTCCCAAGTTGCAGAAACATATTTATATCCGGAACGAGTGGGTTACACCCCCCGCTGTAACTGGGCTAATCCTACCCTATTTATAACTGGGCTTTTTGAACCACTTACTAACTGGGGGTGAACCACCAAGTAGTGCCGTGGGTGGTTTATAGAACCAACAATAATGGTGATATTATGGAATAGTATATGGTATGATTGTGGTTATCAACATTGGATATGGTATGGTTCTATAAACCATACTATATACTACTATTGTATCCAACCATACCATAAGTTGATACAAAATCTAGTTGGATACGGTCTGGTTGTGACAGGTAACCCACAAAATCACGGGGGTATAAAGCCAGCAACAGTAATGTAAACCAACAATAAGGAGCTTGTCAAACCAACAAGATCGGGGATACAATGGAATAAGACATACATCTAGCCAACTGAGCAACTTAGTAGGGGGTTCATGTTGAAGTTGCTTCCCCAGAAAATTCATCCAGGGATGAATTTTCAGCAGTTAGATGCAGGAAAGGGCTCCCAAAACAATTGGTTTCTATTGCTTTGTAACTAGGCAAAGTGTTGAATTCA